AAAATAAGTCTGTGACTTACTTCATTAAGTATGGCATATTGTCATATTTTGTGGAGCCGCTTTTACTGAAAAGTAAAAACTAATTGAGTGTATAAATATACATAATGTATATACAACTTAAGGACTTTAACTCCTACATGTCTCCTAAGAACAAAGATTGGCTTTATATTTTTGTTCAGTCATTAACCTGTATACTACTACAAAACTGGTGCAACAGTTACATAATGGTGCAACCACATGGACCCATAACTGACTGGGTTTTGAGTCCATATGGTGTCTTTCAGCTTCTCTGTAACATGAGCTTCAGACATGATAAGACAGAGAAACCTCTCTGAACTTGTAAGCGCTGTTCAACTTCCAGACGCGCATTTGTATTCACTCGTAGTGAAAACTGTTGTGAACAAAAAAAAGAAAACAGAATACACTTCTTGCTATTTTAAGAGGAAGATTAATTACAGCACTTTTGCCTGACATGCAGCAATGCAAACCCAAACCTCAAATGTATTGGAAGTCAAATGTTTACAATTTTTTTTACTATCCTTATATGACTACTATAAGTAGATCAAAAGAACAAAGATTTCTTGCTAAGAAATCTTCTGTCCAGTATTCAGAGCGGATGCAGCTCTGGTTTGATAGCAGTTAGTCCTCACGGCCTTAAAGGCGACATCAAAACTCATGAGCAGTGTTCAGTTTAAAACCTGAGATACTTTGAGCTTTGAGTTTGCAGCTTCAAACCTTTAACATTTCATATTTATCTCTCCATCTAAAATCTTGTGTATCGATGTGATGTGCAAACAAAAAAAAAATCAAAAAAAAACAAAACAAAAAAAACAGTGAAGAGATCCTGGCATGTGAAGATCTCAAGAATGCTGAAGGTGTCCATTTATTCACAAGATGTAACAGCAAACGTGAGGTTGTCTGAAAGTTTGCCGGAGCTCTGATCTCGCCACAAACTCACTGCTACGTTGTACTGTATATTAGACTCTGAATGTGGGCTCCTCAGGTCCCTCCTGGCCTGAGTGCAGTTGGCTGGATATTATTGCAGCATCAATATTTGCCATGCTGGCAGCTTATAGCGGCTCCTGTGTGCCTGAAACGGCCCTGACCTGCTG